GACTTTACCTATATGATAAAGTATCTACTTTTGCTATTGCAAAGAAATTTTACTCGAAATAAAATATTATAATTAGAAATATTTTTATTTTATAATATTTTATTTCATTTGAAAGTTTCTTTTTTACTGGGTGTGAACTGCACACGTATTTTTAGAGATCTATCTTCAATGGATAAGGATAATTATTTTTTTAAACATTGAACAACATTATCACTAGCTACAAAACCCGCACTATCTAAACCCACACATCTAAATGGGGAGTACTTGTTTTAATTGGTACGCGTGACAGTTTTTATCATAGAATAACGGTGACAAACGAGCACACAGTCCACCTTATAGTCCACCTATCCTTTATTATGTACCAAATGTAGATGCGTTGTCATCTTTGATACCTAACATGGAATGCCTCGTTTCCAGTAAGTATGGTCTCCGTTTCTTTGCACCAGCTTACAAAACACAACAGCATCAAATTGCTATTTTACACTAGTATTCCTGTGAAAGCGTGGTCCTTTACCAGTCGAGTCGACTCATTCGTGCGGCAACAGTAAGTGCAGCGTGTTTCTACCACGTATATTGGAATAGCGATTACAATTAGTAGTTCTAGAGCTCTCGTGTCAAGTGACAATTCGTTTGTGAGTGCGTGTGTTTAATAAAGTTATATTGTAAAAAAAGTGTTTAATAAAGTTATATTGTAATTTTCAGTAGTATCATAGTTTAAATATTTTATACGCCTTTAATTTTTAAAGTAGATCTTACCTTTGGCTAACACCACATGCACCAAGGCCAAACAAAACACAAACTTTGGAAGCACCATCTTGATTTTTTTCTACGATACACTTCACTGACACCAATTTTCTTTAACCTGCAACAACAACATAGAAAACCATTATTACAGATTTAGAAATACACGGTCTAAGCATTAATTCAAAATTGAAAGTTTATTGGTTTTATACAGAAAATCTTCTTAGTAAATATATTTAAAATCAATCTATCCTTAAATCCACCTGAGCAAATCATATCAGAAGTGATTGAATTTTGCGCAAGCAAATTGACTCACATTATGTTACGTCGAAGATTGTATATTTATATAGGGTTGGCAGTTATATAAGGAGACAGTAGAACAAGAACATAATAATATAAAATATTTTATAGTATTCTACGAAAGTAATAAAATGCTGCAATTAGAAGGCGTAATTTATTTTAAGTTTTTATTTATTTATGTATTCTTTACTGCATTCATTGAAGCAAAAGGAAACAAAGGGTGGACTTAATGCTATGAAGCATTCTCTACCAGTCAATCCATGCAGTGGTGAGAATGTGACGTAGATGTAGCAAGATAGAAATAAAAAAACCACATGATTTATATAACTACTTATTTTTTACTTATAAATAAACTATACAAATAAAACTTATACATACATTATATACAAATGTATGCGTAGATTGTACATTAAAAGATGCATAAACAATATAGTATTTTTCTTACTTTACCTATATTTTCGTAACAGTGCAGTGCACCGAATGAAATATAGTACAATACAATGGTATTAATAGCATTTAGTGAGGATCGTAACCCTCCATAATAATTTATTTACAAGAGGGCTATATTTCGACGGGTGCAAAGTAAAAAGGGTCATCTACAAAACAGCTACTTTTCAGGAGAGCGCATAATAGGAAAAAATGCTCTCATTTTGTCAATTTTAAACCAAATTTATTGAAATTTTCATCATTGCTTCATTATTTAGTAATGTATCCACATGTATATTTTATTTTTTCTAATTATGTTTAATTTACGAGATATTGTAGTTGTCTGCATCTTCCTTAAAAATATGACAACTGTGTTAACTACCACTTGGCCGTTTTTACGTGGGAATTCAAAGATTTAGTAAAATACTTTACTAAGTCTTTGAATTCCCACGTAGATTAGTATATTTCAGTAAATACGAAAACTGTAACACTTCTTTTTTCTTTTTTCTTTTTTTCTAACACTTTTGTATTATTAAAATTAGTTAATGACCGTTTTACATCTTATTTTATCGGATTTTTGGTTGAGAATTCAACAGTAAAATTATCATTATAGCCTTCGTTAGAAAAAAAACAATTAAAATTAAATCTAGAAAATTCTAAAGTTTTCATAATTTATAAAAAAATAACATCAGTCATAATAATCAAGTTAGGTTCGTTTCCATGACCTAGTTAACACAATAATAAAATAAATCTTTTAAAGAACGTTCTATTCGTACATTTTTTTTTATAAAAATAGTTAGGTATATCACTTATGATAAAAGTAGAATATTAAATTCTAAACAATAATTAAACTCTGTATCAATACTTAAAAAATTACGAAAGATTTTTTTTAATTATTTTAAAACCAATTTAAAAATTATTCAGTCTCATTACCGTCAGTACAGGAACTATGTTTCAAATTTTTATAAAAGTTATGATATCTAGGAGGTATCAGATTTTGCTGGCAGAGGCTTATTAAGTCTTTGTGCTTGGCACTTGTAATCATGATGGGTTCATTATAACATTTTTTGGGATCCATAAAGCCACGGTGAGAACGAGTAGTTACTTTTCGCACCAATTCAATTCGCTTGAGTTCTTCGTCATTTAGATCATATTTATAAAATATTGTGTAAGGATTCTCTGCTTTAACGACCATTTCTCGAACTTGATTCCACTTAACATTCTCATTGTCGGTATTTTTTGTCAATTTAAAATCATATAAACATATTTTGAAATCCAAAATTTGGTCTTGTGTTATTTCTATAACCTCATAAGCATCGCCGGACGTTTTACACCACCGAACGAGTGTATACGAGGGTGGATTGAAAAGTACTCGGCCTAACCAAGAAAATAAACACATACTAAATCAGTTATATTTTTATTTTTCTACATAATCACCATCAAGTTCAATACACTTTTGCCACCTCCCCTTCCAAGCATTTAGACCGTTGAAAAAAAATGATTCTTCCTTAGAGTCAAAATATGCGTCTACGGCTGCTTTGACCTCGTCGTTTGTCGAAAATCTTTGACCTCCCAAGTGCTTTTTTAGGTTAGGGAACAGAAAGAAGTCTGATGGTGCCAGATCAGGTGAATACGGCGGATGCGGTAACAGTTCAAAGCCACAGTTGTGAATTTCAGCCATTGACTGTACTGACGTGTGAACACGGGCGTTATCTTGATGAAACAGGACTTTTCTTCTGAGCATTCCTCGACGTTTTTCTTTTATTTCCTCTCGTAAACGACGTAGTAAGGTGCAGTAGTAATCAGAGTTTATAGTCTGACCCCTTTCAAGATAATCAATCATAATCACACCTTTCGAGTCCCAGAATACTGAAGCCATCACCTTATTTGCCGACAAAATCGACTTAGCCTTTTTAGGAGGTGGTGAACCAGGTCTTCTCCACTGTTTTGATTGTTGTTTTGTTTCCGGTGTACAGTAATGAACCCATGTTTCATCCATAGTAACAAAACGATTCAAAAAATCATCTGCATCGGCTTCAAATAACTCCAAACAGTCGCGTGAAATAGTCAATCGCGTCCTTTTTTGTTCAACTGAAAGCAGTCGCGGAACCCACCTCGCAGACACCTTGTGGAAACCCAACTCGTTGACAATGATGTTTTAAGTTCGTTCATAAGAGATGCCGAGATTATACGGCTATCTCTCTAATTTTTAATCTGCGGTCTCCCATTATTAAATCAAGTACTTTTTTAATATTTTCGTCAGTAGTTGACGTCGAAGGCCTTCCAGAGCGGGGTTCATCTTTCACACTCTCTCTACCACGCTTAAATTCTGCTATCCATTTTTTGACGGATGAATATGACAGAGCACAATCGCCTAATGTACTGACCATGTCATCATGGATGGCTTTTGATGATAGCCCCTTCTTATGGAGGTACTTAATGACGGCACGCTGCTCGATTTGCTCCATTCGCGGAAATTATGTCCGATTACTTTGTTAATAAATTTATAAAATCACAACTAATTATCGCACACGTTTCGAACTTCACACAATGAACTAGTCTGAACTGAACTAAATAATGTGGGTTTTATTGAATTGATTTTTAGAATTGAATGGATCTGTGTTAGGCCGAGTACTTTTCAATCCACCTAGGTACCATTCTTCAGGACAAAAAATGAATTTTCTCTTCGACGATTTCTCAATTAATGCGTGGACACTATCGCCCTTCTCCAAAAATCTGTGATGAATGTCAATGCTATACTTTTGAGAGCAGTATACATAATATATCGGAAACACAATACGGTTCCTGTTCTGACCGCCACAGTTATCGGACCACAGGCGGATATCTTTGATGCCTCTATTAGTTGAATGTTGTATAAAATTATAAAGGCAACTAGCCACTTTGTTCGAACCCCACTTAGCTATTGTTTCAGGCCACATATTCCTTTTTTAAGTCCCATATCAAAAACAGTAAAATTAAAGACAGAAAGTTTACGCTTATAATAAAATGAACTGGTTTCTCCGTGTGGTGTCGACAAAATTTTTTGAAAATCAAAGGTAGCCGAAGTTACAGTTTCAGGATTAGAAGTAGCTTAATTTTTGTCTTGTTTCTTCAAAGATCTCGCTATATTTTTATCTTGTATATGTTTATTGTACTGATCTTGTTCTCTGGTTTGTGAAGGAAGGCAATTTTTAAATGCTATACACACGTCGCACTGGTCTTTTTTAGGAATATAAAAGGCTATGTTCATTTCCTTGTTAACTATGTCTCGGTACTGGCGCGCTGTGTGTACCCTCTCCACAATACTATTTTCCTCTGCCCAAGTCTGGTACAACTTAAACATCGTGGAGAAATTTAAATCAGCCAAGTAAACTTTGTTTGTGTCTTTTCTTGTGTAATGTGACTCCACTGGTTGAAACGAGTTTACATGATCACACATACCTTTTATTATGGCGGCTGTACAAACCTTGTTTTTATTGTTATGACGACCTCTGAAGTCTTTTTCACAGTTACCAGTACTTTTATCATATTTATCAACTTATCAACATATGTATAAACTGATTACTTACCGACAGCGTATTCTTAAACATTGTTTTGCATACTTTTACAGTTCTAGAGCTGGTTTCTTTTAAATTTATTGGAAGTGTATAGTTTACACTGTGTTGGCGTTTAGAATCATTCTCTGTAGTAATTCTTAGTTTCATACAATGTTTTGTATATTTATCTATAAAAACCCATTGCTTTTCGTGATCACAGAGATCCCAAAAACGATCAAAGGTGAGTTTTCTTTCTTCGTGAGATATTTTTGCGCTACAGTTTGAAATTAGTGACATACTCGATGGCCTGCCTGAGTTTATTAAACAGATATTTTGATCTAATTCTGATAATGGACGCGGCGGACTTGAAGTAAATGAGTTGTATTTTGAGGGCGTTGGTGTATCCGATAATTTGCTCGTAGAATTTCTATTATCAACATAAACATTTTCTGAATTAATTTGTATTTCAGATTGAGAGTGAACTGGTGTGACCGACCTAGAGTACACAGAACATGGGGACTTATCTTGCGAAGTTAACTGATCCTCATTTGTCGTCATCGCTGACACATCAAGGTTTTCTATAAGATGTTCAATAACTTCATCGGCCATCACAGCATTTTTGTCGCAAAATCCATCGCTTATGTTCTGTAAGCTTTCATCTTCTTTAAAAGGTCGTTTAGGACTTTCTGAACATGAAACAATGGTAAAAAATAACAGTAAGAAAATATAATTTAATTATAAGTCAATTAATATATATAGCTAACAATAAGAATTAACATAGGTAGGTACTCATAAACATAACAAACAATACTAATTTACAAAAGTAAATTGAGACATCTACATCACAATCGCAACGTAGAAAAAGCTATATGGCAGATAGCCGTTTATGCGTCGTTTCGTAAAAAAAAATCAATGATAACCTATTTTCATAATTACTTACAAAAACTAATTATGATTTAACTTCAAAATAACAATAACATTAAACTTGTATTATAAAAAATACGTACCAGAACTAGTTTCACGGTTGTTATCGATAAGTTGTAATAGATCTTCTCGGTTCATAATATCGCATTGTCGTCCCGTTTTGCCCAATTTCACCAATAATTTACGTCTTTCCATGTCTTTTGTGTTGAACTCAAACTGTTTACTAATATGATAACACTTTTACACGCACTATAACACTTAACAAACCAAAACAAACAAATATTCGGGCCGGCCGGAGAAGCACGACATGTCATCTGACTGATGACGCAATATGACTGACCGCTGGCCCCCCGCGCATCCCGCGTATAAACGGTCAGCGGTAGTTGTCCGCATCTACATCGTGCAATTTCACAAAACAGGCGTAGTTGTCTTCTTTTACGTGACAAAAGTACCAAAAAATAAGGTGATATTTATATTTTTGTTTTTGCTATGTTGTAAAACATGATATTTTAAGTTAGTTTTTACAAAAAACCAAAAATCTCAAAATTGCAGGGAATAGAGTGAATGGGGCACTACACTCTGTTGTGAAGAACCAGAATGTATCAAAAAAGGCACGTATGGTAATTCATAATGCTGTGTTAGTCCCTACTTTAATGTATGGTAGTGAAAGCTGGGTGTGACAGAAGAAGCACGAAAGTAGAATAAATGCTGTAGAAATGCGGTCTTTAAAGGAGTATGCTAGGGTTGAATCTGAATGACAGGATGAGATATTACATGATAAGAGATAAATGTGGTATGCAAGATGATGTTGTGATGGATTAAGAAAGGAATGCTTCGGTGGTTTGGTCATGTAGAAAGAATGAATGAGGAAAGAGTGACAAAACAAATTTATATGGCAGATGTGAACGGCAGAGTCGGGAAGGGACGCCCTAGAAAAAAGTTTATCGACCAAATTGGCGATATTTTGAAAATGGGCCACGTTAAAAGTACCCTTAACCGACGAGCATGTATGCGTAGATATATGGATGTAAAGGAGGCGAAAGAGGTATGTCAGGATCGTGTCAAATGGAAGTCCGTGGTCTCTGCCTACCCCTCTGGGTGACAGGCGTGAGTGTTTATGCTATTATGCAGTTAACTTTTTTTACTTTGCACCCGTCGATTTGGTATAATTGGCACGTTCAGCGATCGCGTTGGCAACGGAAGCGTTCTATAATGTTGAGTTGTTATTAGGAAGATGCTGTTCATATTCCTATTTTTTCATGTTTAAATTAACCAACGAATATCATAAAAATACTTATAATAATAATAAGTCTGGAGGACTCCAGACCGAATTTCGGCCACGGCGGCCTGCCTCAACGGAGGCCAGCCATCGGCGCAGGACAGGATTATAGTGCCCAAGTGTATGCGCAAGCACAGGTGCACTCTCTATTCCCTCACTCGCTGGGACGGTAAACCGACACGAGCGGAGAAAGATCAGGCGCAGGACCAACGGTTTTACGAGCTTTCCGAGGCAAGGCGGTGAGACACCGTCAACTTTCTGACTCCGGGCAGTTACTGACAATTTCTTGACAAAAACTCAATAATTGAATTTTTCGCCCGACCCGGGATTCGAACCTAGGATTTACCTCATGATTAGCAGTCGCACTACTACAACCACTAAACCAACGAGGCAGTTTAAATACTTATAACCTTTATTAAACACTATATTAAAATATTCAGTTTATTTTCTTTAAACTGACTTCGAAGTCGCAGATTTTGGGTGAGAATTCCAAACACGTCTAATGTGCAAAAATATGAATAATGATTGGTTCGAGCATTTTTTGTTGTATTTTGGATGTCCTCTCCAGCCTCTGACACCGTATCCATTTTTAGGGTTCCGTAGTCAACTAGGAACCCTTATAGTTTCGCCATGTCTGTCTGTCCGTCTGTCCGTCCTCGCTTAATCTCTGTGACCGTTAGGACTAGAAAGCTGAAATTTGGTACCAATATGTGTATCAATCACGCCGACAAAGTGGTAAAATAAAAATTGGAAAAAAATGTTTTATAAGGGTAGCCCCCCTATATGTAAAGTGAGAAGTGATTTTTTTTTTTAATTTCAACCCTAACGTGTGATATATTGTTGGAAAGGTATTTAAAAATGAATAGGGGTTTACTAAGATCATTTTTTGATAATGTCAATAATTTCGGAAATAATCGCTCCAAAAGTAAAAAACAATGTGTCCCCCCCCCTCTAACTTTTGAACCATGAGTTTAGAAAATATGAAAAAAATCTGTAAAGTAGAACTTTGTAAGGACTTTCCAGGAAAATTATTTTGAACTTGGATGGAAACAGTTTTTGTACAAAAAAGACAAAAAGTTGTACAAAATAATTTCTGGACTAAGTTTGTAGTAGAATCGTATATGCAAGCATTTTTTTTAACTTCGTTTACATATCTTTTTCAAACAAAAAAAGAATTATTAAAATCGGTTCTCGCAATCCAAAATTACCACCGAAAACTTCTGGCACGTCTATGTATTAATTAATAACCCAATCCCCGAGAGATGTCGCTGTAGGTACTTATTACATTGGTCGGGTGTTATCGAATTGTTCGGTTGGTCTCTCCTTGGCATTGGCGGTATCTTATAACAACATAAAACTTTTATCAAGAACATGCTAAGGCAATTTAGAACAAATCTAAAATTCATTTTTTTAACGCCATCAAAATGTTAAGGTAAAAACCAGTTCATAAATGGTTCGATAGATGGCGTTGCATAATGACGTTATTTTATTAAAAGTCAATGTTAATATTTTCCGTGCTTTCATGACCTACCGTGGTAAAGGAAGTTGCACTTAAACATATTCGTAATCCTATGAGTGCACAATCTAATAGTCGTCGAGGTTTGATAAAATTAGATTGTGGGTTAAATTAACTTCTTTTGCGGATATTGTTCATATTAATTTTGTATGTACGCACAGTACGCAGTTACTTGATACGTACAACTCCTAGCTAATTACGATTTGAAGTGGGCTAGTTTGTTAAAATAGTGTTAAACACACTTGTTTATAATTACTTATTGTCCGGTATTAAAATGTTCTCGTATATTTTGAACAGTAATAATCATGTTGAGGACGACGTTGTGCGCGCCTTTCATGATGTGTTAGCCCAACACACATTGTTTCGGCCTAGAGAAGTGTCTCTTTTTCTTTATCCGGAACTAATAGAGCCTGTGCCTCAAAACGAGTCTCATTTACAAATTATATATGGCGGAGAAGTCGGGTTTGTGGGGCATTGGATTTGCATTTATTACATCAATGGAATATTACGGGTCTATGATAGTTTATATAATAGTTTAAGTCATTCGCAGCACGTTTACGTTAACGCACTATTCCCATACTTGGATAATAATAAAATACAATTTCCTAGTGTCCAACGTCAACCAAATAATAGTATTGAGTGTGGGCTATTCGCCATTTGTTTTGCCACCGCTTTAGCTTTGAGAGTTAATCCATCCTGTATCAATTTCGTTGCCGAGGACATGCGACGTCATTTGTTTGATATGTTATCTCGAGGTGTATTAGAACTTTTCCCATCAACTAACACCGCAAGAAGAGCTGGCCGGCCACCAGCAAATTTGTTCCTTAATATACTAGCAAAGAAAGAAAAATGTAAAATTAAGGATGCCGAAAAGAAAAAAAACAAAAGGTCTCAAAAGACACAGTCTCAAGAAACTGAAAGTCAAAACGTTAATTACAAGAAAAACATTGAATACCCCACATTTACAGATAATACGCAGATATTTGAAAGTCCAACGTCTTCAAGTAGTACGCAGATATTTGAAAGTCCAACGTTTACAGGTATTACGCAGATAATTGAAAGTCCAACATTTACAGATGAATCACAGAAAGACAAAAATCCGACTAATGATATCCAGACCATTGACTGTTTAGCACTTACGTATAGTACTCAAGAAAAACCAAGTCCTACATTAAGATATGCCAACAACGAACATACTGGGTCCGGCCAAGCCAAACGTAGAAGAAAAAATACTGATTACACACAGACTAAGCAAATACGAAATACTGAGAGCCACAGAGCCACTCGTCAGATTCCCGTCATTATACAGGCAGAGCAACAACGCAACACGCAGGCTCATCGCTTAGCTCGTGAAAACCCTATCTTCCGGGATACAGAACAGCAGCGGGACACGCAGGCTCGCCGTGAAGCTCGAGAAAACCCTATCTTCCGGGATACAGAACAGCAGCGAAATACGCATGCTCACCGCATAGCTCGGGAAAACCCAGTCTTCCGTGATATAGAGCAACGGCGTGATACCCAGGCTCACCAAATAGCTCGCGAAGATCCACATTATTCACAAATTGAACGAGCTAGAGACACCAGAGCTCGACAATCGGCGCGTTGTAATTCTATTAATGATTGGGATAATGTTAAACGAAAATATTTTAATAACACCAAGGAAGGATACAATCATCCTTGTTCATGTTGTGGTAGACTATGGCACAAAAATTCTGTAAGGAAACTAATAAAGCATTCTATTTCGACTAAATATAATGCAGAATTCGCGTTAAGTGTATTTAATTTAAATCCTTGTGATGAATCTGCTGAGTTTTGCTGTACGTGTGCTAAATATATAACTCAAGGGCGAATGCCACGATTAGCAATAGCTAATGGATTGAAGTTTCCAGATATTCCGGATGTTTTGAATAAATTAACTTCAATGGAGGAGAGATTAGTAAGTCCTCGTCACGTATTTTTGAAAATAGTTCGTAGAGGCCAGGGATTAGGATATCAGCATGGTTTATCAGGAAATGTTATTAATGTACCTGTAAAAATTAATAACATGGTAAAAGCTTTGCCTCGGTCGATAAATGATGACAATGTCATCACTGTAGAGTTGAAGCGTAAATTCTGTTATAAACATGGTCGAAAAGAACAAGTCCGCCCGGAAATCATACGGAGAGCAGCGGAATATTTAGTAACGTGTGATCTGTTTCGGACATATGGTATAGAACTTGAAGGTTCATGGACAAATAATGAAACTGAAGACACTGTCGAATGTACCTGTAGTTCACCTGAGCAGGAGAGCAATGTTGATGAGATCCCCGATGTAAATCCTGGTGGCACAGAAACTCTGTTAGATGAAAACCAAGACCTATCAATAGTTATGGCTCCAGGAGAAGGTGAAAGGCCAATTTCCTTGCTTTTTGATCGACATCTGGAAGAGCTGGCTTTCATAAAAGTACATTGCGCTATTGAGCGAAAATACCTCGTGAACTTAAGTCATTCTGAAGTCACACGTTCAGAAATTTCCAGAAATGACAGGCGAGCTGTAAGACCTGATTACCTATTTACTGCCCTGAAAAAGCAACAAACTATTGCCATCAAATATAATGTTACGACCTGTTTACGCAAAAAAACGGTCAGAGGTGCCCCTGTATTTGCATGTAATGTGCTTCAAAATAATTTTGTTGACAATTTAGTTCAACATGACGATGGGTATCGTGTTCTTGGAGGAATTAGAAATTCTCCTGCTCACTGGGAAAGTGAAAAGAAAAAGTTGTTGGCAATGGTTAGACAGTTCGGTGTTCCCACTTTATTTTTAACTATATCTGCTGCTGAAGTACAATGGATTCCATTATTAATTTTGCTTAGTGAAGTAGTTGATAAGAAAAAACTTACTGAGCTTGAAGCGGAAAACTTGCCATACGATACAAAAACTCGCCTTATACAATCCGATCCGTTCATTTGCGCCACATATTTTGAAATCAAATTAAAAGAAATTCAAAAAACCTGGTCCTGTTCATCTGGACCTTTCTTAAATTATAAAATCACACACTTTTATTATCGCATTGAATTTCAGCATAGAGGATCGCCTCATGCTCATATGATGTTATGGTTAGACGAAGCGCCCACTTTTGTACCCGGTGATACAGCATCTGCTCGTGATATTTCCAAATTTGTTGACAATATTATTTCCTGTAACAGCACTGAAGTACCTGATGAACTTAGACGTCTACAACTACATAAACATACACATACATGCCGGCCAACATCAGATAGACTGTGTCGCTTTTGGAATACCATTTTTCCCCATGGATAAAACAAAAGTATTAAAAGAACTTTCAAAAGACGATCCAAAGTTCAAAAAGTCAAAACAATTGGCAAAAGACATCTGCCAAAAAATACAAAATATCCCTGCAGAAATATACACTTTCGTTGATTTTTTGGACTGGATTAGAGTTAGTTATGAAGATTACATATTGGCTATTAGAAGCACCTTAAAACGACCTACGGTAGTCCTTCAACGCAGACCTCAGGATGTATTTATTAATCCTTTTAGTAAAAAAAATCTTAGCTTTGCACAAAGCAAACATGGACATCCAATTCATATTAGACCCTTTTGCGTGCGCAGTATATATTGTTGACTATATTAACAAGGCTGACCGAGGGATGTCTCGTCTTTTGCGTGAAGCTTTGGACGAAGCTAAAAAAGGAAATAAAAGTGTTAAAGACTCATTAAGAATAGTATCTAATGTATTCTTAAATTCTAGTGAGATCTCTGCTCAAGAGGCAATTTATGTACTGACTGGTTTACCACTGTCACGAGCTAGTGAAGCTGCAATGTACATAAACACTAGTTTGCCACAAGAGCGAGTGCATATTTTAAAAAGTTACCTTGATTTGCAAAGCCTCGAACCTGATTCTTCCGATATATTCCAAAAGGGTATTATTGATTATTATTCAAAACGACCACTATCGTTAGAAAACATAAGTCTTTCCCATTTTGTAGCATATTACACCTATTCCAAAAAAACTCATTCAGCTAGTTCAATAGAAACTCTCAATGACAGTTCTCAAGCAATTAATTATTCCCAGGCTGTTGAAGAAGTTGAAGCGGAAGGGAATTGGATTCCTTTGCAAGATAATTTAGGATACATACGGAAAAGAACTAAAACTCGAGTAATACGATTTCGCCGGTACAGTTACATTGATGATCCAGACAATTTCTATAGGGAACAGATAATGCTATACATCCCTTGGCGAAGCGAGGAGGAAGAATTACTAAATCCCAACATAAATATAAAGGACATATTTGACGAGTATAAAGAAAGAATAAAGGCCGAAAGTAAACAATTCAATAAACTAGGTGATGCTGAAATGTTTGAAACATTGCTAACAGAAATAAGAAATGTAGAATTAATAAACGAAGAAGAAGATTTGCAAGGAAGAGGAGTCAACGTGGATGTATTTGAAGGCTTTGAATTTGAGACGCAAACAGTAGATATAGCAGAAGAACTCATTCCAGGCGGTAATCCCGGGCCGCAATTGTGTGGTGACCCCTCAACTTTCATTGCGCAACCACCTGTCTTGTCCCATGACGATTTTTTGATTCTTACTAGAAAACTAAATGATGCTCAAAGAGACACGTTGTTTCATATTTATCAACACTTTTCCATTACTTCTCCACATCCACTATATTTATTTATCAGTGGTGGGGCTGGCGTTGGCAAAAGTATTCTGATTAAAGCAATTTATCAATGCCTAACTCTCTTATTTAACAGAGAAGCTGGTAGTAATCCCGATGAATTAAAAATACTTTTAACAGCTTTTACCGGTAAAGCTGCATTCGGAATAGGAGGGCAAACAATCCATAGCGCACTTGGACTTCCAGTGTCTCAAGCGGGCAATATTTTACCAGAGCTGTCACCAAGTGTGGCCAATACTCTGGCCACAAAACTAGCAAAACTACGTTTAATTGTAATTGATGAAATTTCAATGCTAGGATCCAGGACATTCCATCAAATAAATCGTAGACTTCAGCAAATATTTCATTCTTCTACCTTCTTTTCTGGAATTTCAGTGATAGTAGTTGGAGACTTCAGACAATTACCACCTGTTGGCGACAACTGGGTGTTTCAAGCTAATTCTCGAAATCCTTTAGCAGAAATAGCAGGTACGCCGCTTTGGGATTTATTTGTACTGACAGAGCTTAAAGAAATAATGCGTCAAAGGGATGATGTTGCCTTTGCCACGGCATTAAATAATATGGCTAGTGGATGTATGTCACCTGAAGATGTCAATTTAATTGAAGGTCGGTGCTTTAGTAAATCATCACTTCCAGACACGTGTAAGGGCGCAGTTCATCTATTCAGCAGTAACCGAGAAGTTGATGGGCATAATTCTAAAATACTCTCAAATATGACTACCGAAGGAGCGATATCCCGGGCTGTGGATAGAGTAAGTGGCGAAGCTAATCCTGCTATGAAAGAAAAAGCTCTAAACACAGTTGCCAAGTTACCCACGTCTCAAACCTACGGATTACCTAATGCTATAACTTTAAAAATCACGGCTAAATATATGATGACAGTAAATATTAACACGTCAGACGGACTAGTGAATGGAACCACGGGGGTACTGACTGCGATTGATTTTGCAGTCAATCCAACTACCGGTGAGAGAAGACCATTACGCATTTGGATATGTTTCGATGACGTAAATATAGGCAAATTAAAAAGAATTCAGAGCTCAACATCCCTCACTCGTTATCAAACACGGCTAAAAAATAATTGGACTCCAATAGAGCCAGTTACGTACACTGTGAAAAGGTACAAATCTTCAAACTTACAAGTGCGTCGCAGTCAATTCCCAGTAGTTCCCGCTGAAGCTGTTACTATACATAAAAGTCAGGGTTCCACCTTAGAAAAAGTTGTAGTACATTTAAAGCCCAATATTTTAAGATCTATGTTATACGTCGCCTGCTCACGTGCCACTAGCTCAAAAGGTTTATTCATTGTTACCGAGACCTTTCGTCCTCCACGTCCACCATCTGAGCATGATTCCGTCGTAACGGAAATGCGAAAATTAAAATTAAATCCCCTGATTCCCATATATCGCTTTTTAAGAGAGCCCCGCAGTTCCTGCCAAATTATGTTCCATAACGTACAATCTCTACGTAAACACTTGCAGGATGTAGTAACCGATCCGCAGACGATGGCATGCGACATTTATTTAGCCGTAGAAACTTGGAGTTGCCTTCAAGATTTATTCAATATGAATAATTTTGAAGAAATAGTTCGAACAAATGGCCCGAAACAGTATTCTGCAAACCCCGGCTTTGGTGTATCTGCAATGATAAAACATAATCTAGAATATTCCAACCCACGATCTTACAGTGAAATTTCCGGAACTGAGCACTGTGAAGCAGTATCTTTTGAAGTAAATAATGTGAAAATAGTAGCCTTATATAGATCATGCAAATGCCCCAACAGCGTCGCAGTGGGTTTTATAAGTAATTTACTGTCGCATAATAGTTCTTGCATTATATTTGGAGATTTTAACGAAGACTACCTTAGTAACAGCAATACTGCAGTATTTAAATTACTAAATGACGCTGGTTATCACTCCATGTTACAACCCCTACCCACTACTCGTGGTGGGACTCAAATAGACAACATTTTCTCGAACTTTCCATGTGTGGTTGGAATCTATAACTCTTTTTTAGTTATCACCGTCCTTTGTGGGCCCGTTTTTAGTGTTCCGTAATTGTTAGAGTTCCGTAACAAATAGCCTTTTTAAGTTGGGTTACCACTATGTTCGCGCTCCAGCGGCGCTCCGCGCTCCTGCAACTGCTCCAATGGATACGTGGCGCGCACTTCTACATGCGCTCCCCTTTAACACACTGCGCTCCCCTTTGTGTTCGCGCTAAAAACCATCACGAGTCGGAGCGCCTGCCGCGGAGCGTGCAATGTTGCACGCTCCATGTTCGCGCACGTACCCACTACCGGGAGCAGTTGCAGGAGCGCGGAGCGCTGCTGGAGCGCGAACATAATGGATACCCACCTTTAAACTCATAAGTGGGAACACTTATTGTGACGGACGGGAAACTACGGAACCCTACACTGAGCGTGGCCCGACACGCTCTTGGCCGATTTTTATAGATGTTTTCCGATCTTGTTGCGTGAGCGTTACGCTGGACATTGGTTAGGACAAGTAAGTGACTCAGTGTTAACGCGTATAATTGTGACACTATATCTTCGGCGCAGTATCGTTCATTCAATCCATCCAGCCCTACGCGGGTGACCTTTCTAAACATACAACTCACTCAAAGTATGCCACAGAATACGGTCCCTAACTACCTGCATCTTTCCGCGTTCAGTAGTGTTTTTTTATCTCACACTACATATTTCGTATAAAACACATTTTTATAGCATTTTTAAAAACCTGTAAGGTTTAAACGTCCGGAAAATCAGTCTTATCAATAAGTTATAGCCGTGAAAAGAGAATATTCTAAAAATTTTAAGATTCTTTGTAGGTTAGTTTTAAACCTCACCAGGTATCGCCAGGGGGGGGGGGGGGGGGTTAAAAATTGCAAAAATAAAACATCACGAGATTAATGGACGGCCCCTATCCTCGATTACGAATCAAAATGCTGATGCGTTGTCACCCGTGAGGACTAAGATGGAATGCCTAGTTTCGAGTAAAAAGGGTCTCCGGTTCTCTACACTCACTATTTTACGCTGGCATTCTGTGAGAGCGTGGTTCTTCCCCGGTGGAGCAAACCTATTCGTGCTACAACTATACTACTAATAGTGTGTGTGCGAGCGAGAAGTGTACGAGATACTACTGACAAAAAACTATATTTTTATCTACTATGGATTTACAAATCAATATGGTGTTGTACATTTAGCAGCGTGATGGTTCAATCAAGCCAGTTAATTGAATGGCTAGCGCGGAGATCTCGTGATCTCTCATCGATGTTCAGAGCCATCACACTGGGGTTTCTTGTCAGTAAGATCTCGACATAACCTATTCGCCTCTTCAGAGCAGCTGGCTATACATAAGGATTTCCCGGTAAAAATGGGTGACCTAGTTCGAAGCGTGTTCTAGTAAATAATTGTATGATGTCCAGTTCATGTCAATGATCAGAGATATGCAAATATAGACGAGAAAAACGCAGGAATGTGGTGTGAACAGTGAACACATTTATTTACTTAGAGATAAACAAATATTCACAAACTTATTCTAAAAAATGAGAAGCACTCTAAAAACTACAATAATAATATACGAATCATCATCAAAAGCAACTATTTAAAATAAAACGTATCTTATTGACATTACATCGAATAAAAATAACAGTGTTTGTTTTTTTAACCTTAAGTAAATCGACCGGTTTCTTTTTACGACATTATCAGGGTATGTGATTTTCAGAACAGTGAACATAATATATTTCCTATAAATGAAAATAGAAACTGTATTAAATGTTGCTGGTTTTACCAAAAAAAGTGTTCCAAGAAAAGCGAAGTTTAGCGAGGTCTCCGCACTATATGAAGTGGTGACCTGACAAGAAACTCGCTCTCGCGCCTCCGCTGTCCTGTTCGCGCTGTGCAGCGTCGACTCATCGGTGAGTCTTTTACCGCTAACAGTTCTTGCCCCCCTGTCCTCGGGCGGGGAGGTTTGACTGACCCCCGCTTGTTATTGTTACTCTATTTTTATTCTTATTGTTATTTCTCTGTTATTATTTATTGTTATACGTTTATATTGTATCGTAGTACGCCTCGCGTTCAAGTTCCTGTTCTACTAAGAATAGGGACCCGTCCCAACCCTTACTGTCCATAGAACTACTGTCTCAAAATGTCCACAGTTAGCATACATAAGTCCCTCATCGCCGCCCTAAACCAAAATTATGGTAAGTGCATAAACCTCGATGAGACGGTCCTCGCCGCCATCGCCGCCCAAGTTACTCCCCCTGCCCCTCGGGCACTCCAACCGCTACCCGTAATCGCGACTTACTTAGACCCACGGAACTCCTTTGCACCCTTAGAAATGGAGTACGAACGCTCCGAGTCCTCCGCGTCGGCTTCCCGGAAGAGGCCCGCCACCAATTCTGGCACCGGTTCATCGGAATCCTGTGACTCCGACGGAACCGTAGACTCCTCATTCACCACGGTGAACTCCAGGCGCAGCGGTAAACGCGCCCCGAAAAAACGCACCGTCCCCGTCTCAGCGACTCCTGCCGCTCCTACAACCTCCGCAGCTCCCGCTGCTGCCTCTGCCCCCCGCAGCCCCCGCCGCTGCCGCGGTCCCACTTATGTCACTAGACATCACCGCTACGACCAAGCCAGCCTCTCCATGTGCTCCAGTCCTTGCCAAGAAGCAAGTCCCCCCCCTGTCTTCCTAAGAGACAAGGCAAAATTCACTAAATTATCGAAAGCCTGCTAAGACGCAGGTATTAAATATGACCACGCCATCAACCTCGGGGAGACTATTAAAATCATCACTAATTCAATCGATGACTTCCGTCAACTGCGCAGGCTATTCACAGCCGAACGAGTTTCCTACCACACTTACGCTCTTCTGGAAGAGCGAAAAGGCCGTCATCCGAGGCGTCCCTTTTGAATTCTCCAACGAGGAAATACTTAAAGACCTTAAGTCCCAAGGTTTCCCCGTAGTAGCCGTGCACAAAATGCACAGCAGAACGGGCAAAAGGTTCAATCGTGCCCTAGTCATCTTAACAAACGTGCCGGAGGCAAAAGCCATCTTCCGGCAGGTACGCACAGTGTGTGGCCTGTCGAGAGGGTTGAGCCCCCACGTAGGCGCGGATTCCCGGCGCAGTGCCACCGCTACCAGCTATATGGTCACGCGGCGGCCAACTGCTCCGCCACACCCAGGTGCGTTAAGTGCCTTGAAACCCACACCACCAAAGAGTGTCCTCGGCCCAAAGACGCCGAATCCCCTCCCCTTTGTGTCCTGTGCAAACAAACAGGTCACCCGGCAAACTACAAAGGCTGCCCTTGCGCACCTCAACCTTGCCCCAGTAGACAAGCTCCACCGCCGGTCAATGACCGCTCATTCCCGGCTCTCTACCAATGGCCCCGTCAGGGCCTTTCTCAGCCCATCCAGGGCTTCTCTCGGCCCTCTCAGAGTCCCCCCTAGGCCCCTCAGGGCATTATTCGGCCCCCCTCCGGGCTTCTCAAAGCCTATGCAGCCTTCAGTCTTTCCCTGGGGCCGCAATAAGGCAGACCCACCGCGGACAACCTCCGCCCCAAAACAACAACAATCACAGCCCACTATTGAAGATCTAAAAACGCTGTATTCCGCTATTAGAAACATCAATGTTAGCGAAATCGCGGTGTTAGCACGCAAATTGCGCGCTGCGTGGTCCTCTCAGGACCGTCTCCTCGTTCTTACAGAGCACCATAATCTTTTGCGCTCGTTGTAAGTTAAGTTAACTTAATTAACTTAACTTCACAATGACAGAGCAGTTTCCAAAGTCTCACGGTCGTATCAAACCTAAGAGTTTATCGCTTGTATCCTTTAATATTCGCGGTTTACGAAATAACCTCCCAAAGCTTAAGCAGGCCTCCGTCACTCGCTCTAGGCCACGCGTTTTATGCCTACCGCTCTATGTATCGTCCACGATACAACCGACATTGGGCTGCTGCAAGCACCGACGTAGCACCGCGCACGTTTCCCGCGCTTACTCGTCGAAATGCCAAAACCATGTAATTATTGTGCAGTGAGTGGGTGTAAAAGTAAAAAAAAAAAACTTGTTTTTGACTCATGTATTAAATAAGTGCAATGTATATTTATTATATAAGTGATGCAAAAAAAACATAACTGCATTAGCTTCAATGCTTCAAGACTCTGTACTCATTTCAAAGCTTATAATAAAGATTCATCTTTTTATGGTGGGCTAAAATTTCCACCAGAACCGTTTAATAATTATATTGAAGAATTAGAAAGATCATTCTCAAATAATTTTGACAACGTCATAATGAATCGGTCTGGCAGCACCGTGTTCTAAGTTTTACAAACCATTGTTTTTCCTCTGCTTTGCTCCTGTTTTCCTCATGATTATTTATTAAAATTATTTACGCGATTTAGGAAACTTCAACGATAAAATTTCCAAGAATAAAATAACCGAGAATTCAGAGAATGAAAAAAAAATTATAAATCATTTTATAAAACTCAACACATATTTGATTGACAAATAAAAAATGTTGTTAGTATGTATAAAAAAATATATTTCGCAATATTCGTTTTATTACAATAATCGGCATTGGTACACGTGAGTCGCACGGCGGACAACACGAACTCGATTCTTCGTGCGCGTACTTACGGTACATTTTCTTCTCGCTGCGAGCAACAGATAATATTATTAAGATTTTGTAGGCTATTATAGCGTAGGTATTTTCGCTTTTGTATGGGAGTGATGTATCCGTTGGTAAACTATTTATTAATCTGTGGCTTAAGCTCGTTCTTCGGAATTTGTAGCCAATTTCCTTCTACTACAGGAAACTAATCTCAAAACTAAGGACACTAAAGGCTATTAAAAACTTCTCTCTTCTTCGTAATGACAGATCCGACCGCCGAGGCGGCGGAACGGCCATCTATCACAAGAAGACACTTCACTGCTCGCCCATTTCTACTCCGCAGCTTACAAACATGGTAGCCACGGTATGCAGGCTAGCTATGCCTGGACATCAGTCCATTCTCATAGCGTCCTGTTACATCCCTTCAGGAACCCACCCCCTCAAAAAAGA